ATCACTGATAGCAGAGCTTTAAGGTTCTTTTGAACTAATTAAATCATTTTACATGCAAAAATGTGCATGCATAGCACTGTAATTTGGATTATCTGAATCTATCCATCCATCCATTTTCCTCTGCTTATCCGGGACCGGGTCGTGGGGGCAGCAGTCTAAGCAAAGATGCCCAGACTTCCCTCTCTCCAGACACTTCCTCCAGCTCCTCCGGGGGAATGCATGCCGAGGCGTTCCCAGGCCAGTCGAGAGACATAGTTCCTCCAGTGTGTCCTGGGTCTTCCCCGGGGCCCCATCTTGGTGGGATATGCCTAGGAAGGTGCCCAGGAGGCATCCGAAACAGATGCCCGACCCACCTCAGCTGGCTCCTCTTGATGTGGAGCAGCAGTGGTTCTACTCTGAGCTCCTCCCGGGTGACTGAGCTCCTCACTCTATCTCTAAGGGTGCGCCCGGCCACCCTGTGGAGGAAGGTCATTTCGGCCGCCTGTATCTGGGATGTTGCCCTTTCAGTCATGACCCAAAGCTCATAACCATAGGTGAGAGTGAATCTAGACCTGTGCCAATATAACATTCCCCTGGTGTAATTTAAGACTGGAAATTCCTTTTTTCTGTCTTAGAGCAGTCATAACTTTTAAGACAATAATTTGTTTTTTTCATTGTTTTGGCTTTTTACTCAAGCACACTGGATTTGAACTAAAGCAATGACTTTGAGGTTAACATGATGTCATTTTTTTTTTTAGAAACAGTCCCCCAGTTTGAGGGCAGCGATTCTAAACATCCAGACAAATCATCAATATAATTGTTATAGCAAAATAGTGGGACTTTCTCTGGTCAAATCAGTCATCTGACCTCCTTCAAGAGGTGAAGATGGATATAGTACCAGCCTGGAAAATCATTACCAAGGAAGATATCAGGAATAATTCCTGTGAGCTGCAGACTTCAGGAAGGAAAGAATACAGATTTAGGCAACCCTTAACATGTCATTACTTTTTTATTCCTGTGATTAGGTATAAAAAAAACTACAAATACACATTGTGTGTCTACTTTTTGTGCAATACGGATATGTGTTTGAAAATGATGATGTGATCATGCTAATTAAAGCCAAGAGGCATTTTTGAAACTGGCTTCACTGGCAAATTCTTTCCTGGTACAAGTACATTGAAGAATATAACTTACCATCAAGAATTCTCAACCTTACTGATTTGTAAACTGACTTGGCTCATCACTGACACCCGTAGTCTGGTTCCTGACTCGAACTGACATCTTTTCATTGGACCGTGGGTTTAAAAGAAAGCAAGTATTTTGCCAAATACAGTAAGTGCATCAAGCTTTGTCTCAGTACTATACTTAACCAACTTTGTTCTGATCCTACAAGCTGACAAAGACAAAATTAGCACTGAAAATGAATCTTTTCCT